CAATTAGCTACTCATTGATTATTACATAGCAGACACTTGATCATTAACCAAAGGAAAAATATCTAGAACAAAACAAATGAATACCTTGCAGTTACTAGTATATACCTTCTTCATGAATTTACATATTGCATGACAGTTCACATAAAACAGCCTGCCTAGTAAGTGGAACAAAAGGATAATGAGCTTATAAATAGGAGAGAAGCCTCTACCAATTGCTATGAGAGGTAGTAAGAGTTATTCTCAGTCTCTTTCTCACCAATTCCTTTATTCTCAAGCTCTATCAATACATTTCCAACTATGCTTCAGCTGGGACACTACAGAGAACAATCTGCTTAAAAATCATAGTCTCTGGCGGGGTGTGGTGGCACACACCTGTAATCTTGGCACTGGGGAGGCTGAGGCAGGAGGATAACCATGAGTTCGAGGCCAGCCTGGGCTACAAAGTGAGTTCAAGGTTAGCCTGAACTTTATAGTGAGATCCTGTCTCTAAATAAATAAATGTCTCTGGAGTTGAATGGTATTATTTACTACCCCATTCATTTAGTCCACTGACCAGAACAAATGATATTAGTGGGGTGGGAGGGAGAGAGCAAAGGAAGGGAAGGGAAGAGAGGTTTCTTGCTTATTTTGGTTTTTCTTCATTCTTTTAATTTCTAAGCTTAGGTAGCCCCAGTTAGGGGCTGGGAATCGAAAGGTAACATATTCAGAGACAAGAAATATTCGCTCTGCTCTGTTAAGCAATGCACTTGTCTGGAAGACTGAATTCAGGCGCACTCCTTCCAGGTAGCCTCCCCAATACACCCACGTGGGGCTAGAGGCGGTGCCTTCCCCAACAGCTGGATAAGTGGGTTTCTATCCTCACTAGGCTCTGAACGTTGTCTCTCTTTAAATCTGTGGTGCTAAGTACAGGGTCTAGCCTGTGCTAATATGTAGTATAATTGTGGGGAACGTTGCAGTCACGTTCTGGTTGCTGAGACACAATACCTGACCCCCACAACTTAAGGGAAGGCAGGTTTATAAGGGTTTTTGTTTCATAGTCAGGTGGTTCCAAGGCAAGACAGCATGGCACTGGGGCCTGGCAGAGGAGAGCTGTTCACAGCATGGCAGGTGGGAAGCAGAGGGTGGAGGCAGGAGACTGGGGGGGGGAGCATCTGGGCCTTGCCCCAGGGACCTGCCTCTTTTGCCAGGCCCCACCTCTGAGCACCAAGTTCACTGTCCAACCCTCTCATCCAATCACCTTCCAAAAGTCATGCCTCTGAGCACACAGGCCCTTGGGGGAATTTTGGATATTAATTGTAATGAGGAATGAATGGTTAGCTCTTACATGCATCCACAGTTCTCTCCGTCTTTTATTCCTGAAGGTTCCTCTCATCTGGGCTTTTGTCGCTTCTTCCCGGTCCAGTGTCTATAACCTTCCTGCTCCCACTCGCTGCATTGGTGAAGCAGGCTGACTGGACCAGACCTCCACTTTCAGGTGGCTCTGGGTTGCTTCCACCCCCTTCCCGTCATCAAATGCCCTCCTTCCCTATCCCATCTTCAATTGCGGGGCTGTTCTCTCCTGGGTGAAAAGGAAATCAGATAAGAGAATTAGTTAGAGCCAACATGACCCCCTCCACACCAGCAGAAAGGTTTTACAGACTGAGCTCACAGGGCCACGGGAGTTCCCCTTGGTCAGGCAGCAGGGTGTCAGTGCCATTCAAATCCACAAGCTGAGTATACCATACAGCCAGATGGTCTGGGTAAGTAATTTTACATGAACACAAAGATGGCTGTCTTAGGAAATGGAATGTCAGGCTTCCATAAAATTACCAAGCCAAAATGAGACCTCAAAGTCACTGTAAGACTATGTATCATTTAGTGTCATTTAGTCCATGCTATCCTCAGCTTCTGAGGTATGGGTTTATCCACACTGGTGCTGGGATGAGTCTTCAAAGTATCAATGGTGTTCACTTCTGGCTATGGATGGGGCCTTTACGTCCCATCTCGAAGATTGGTGACCACACATTCATCATGGGCAGGGCTAGTGCTGAGGGCAGCGGGCAGTAAATCTAGGTGCTTAGCAAGTTCTTAGGCAGATGTGTCATTCGAAGACAAACCATCCATCCCCCAGATGGTGGGCATCTGTCTAACACTGATCCATCATCCGATCGGCCATAAGCTCATCGTTGGCCTAGGTGCGAGGAGGAGGTAACAAGATAGGCAGTTTCTGTTCGCGAGACACAGTCTGGCAGGGAAACACATTACAAGGAGAGCGATATTATTAAATCTATCTATGGTACCAAATACATAATTTCAAGTGTTGCAGTATTTAGAAGGAGCATGGTGTTTTGGCTGTTGGGAGAGCAGTAGTTTGTCATTGATGACCTTATTAGGATGATTCTTGACACACTGAAAAGTCACTCGTTTTTATTTCCAGCCTCAAAATTACAGTTTTTTGTGATGCCAGAGGATTGAAGTCAAGCACCTTACCACTGAGATACAGCCTCAGCTCCCCATGGGATTCTGAATATTTTGCGTGTTGCAAAACAATGAAGTATGATTTAGTTTATTAAGAAAATTTCTTTTTGTATTTCAGAGACATTAAAAGTACTATCCCTTCATTACACTCTTCTACAGTTTTAATCAATTGTTGAGAATAACAGTATAATTAATAACGCTTTAGTAATAGTCTTTTTTTTTTTTTTTTCTCAGAACCAGGGATTGAACTCAGGCCCTTGCACTTGCCAGGCAAGCACTTATTCTACTGAGCCATCTCCCCAGTCCTTGCTTTAGTAATAGTACCATATCCTACCATATTGTTTTTGGAATCAAAATTTGCTTGAGGTTCCTTTTCTTTCTCTAAAATCAAAGGTAGTTTTCTTCCCTCTTTCCCCATCTTCCTCTCCACAGATGTTTTTGACAATCTAACTTGATTTTAACATTCCAATACACAATGGTAAGAAAGCCAATACAAAGATTATCTAAGTTCATTACAAAACCTTTCAGGAACAAATGAGCCAAACACGGTGTTACTCAAATCTGTGAGGACACCTGCCTGCCCGAGGTTCTCTCGTCATGACAAACATAGGTGTCATCCCCTTTGCGGTGGACTGTAGTATAACCGTCTGCATGCCATTAAAAACCTCATTTGCTTTCAAGATTCATGAAAAAACCGTTCCAATTAATACGGTAGAAATTGTTGAGGCCCCATGGGAACCTACAATTTCACAGTTCCAGTGCTGCTAGAAAAATCCTGTGCTGCCAAGCATTAGCCCCAGGAGGCCTCTTGCCTTTCTCAAGGTGGATACACACCCTGTGGTGTTGTCAGGAGCCCTTCAGTCGCGTGGCTGTCTGAGGGAGCCTTCAGGCAAGGCCTTCGCTTTTCTCCTGAAAACACTTGCTTCCTCTTGACACACAGCAGAGCCAAATGCGTCTTTCTGGTCTATACCAGACATAGCATGATTGGGCACCCGCTTCTACAGGGGCTCTTGGTCCTCGCCATTTGCACACCCTGACTGAAGCAGCCTCTGGGGACAGCACAAGCTGCAACCAGAACGGGGTGAATGGGAATGTTCCTGTTGCACTTAGGACGCCCGGACTTCATGAACTTTCTTTTCCAGTAGGTTCATTATTTGAGTTTTAAAGAGACAGTTGACCAGAGAGGGGCCCCATTCAGCACCAGTGCCCAATGGCAGCTCTCCCAAGGGAACAAGGCACACTTACTCAGGAGCACGTTACTAAACCCATTCAGCACTATCTGACCCCAGCTGCTAACTTTCTTCATAACAAGGAAACTTTGGCCAGGGAATGTGATTTCCCTGCTCAGAACTTCTACAGTGAGTGGGGGAGAGCGGGTTCCTGGGAGGTGGTGGGGCCTCCTGGAGGTGACCTCCAGATGGGCTCTTGAAAGCACTTCAGTTTTTGGAAGAAAAAAAAAAAAGTCTTAAAAAACCCTTAACTTCCCTCATTTCTTTGCATTTATGCTTTCTTTTTAATCTCACTCTGCAACCCCATTTTCAGCATTTCAGAACAGCCCAGCACACTATTCTTTGGCTTGAAAACACTTTCATTTTCTTAGAAAATGTCTGTTTAAAACAGGTTTTCTTTTCTTTTTTTCTTTTAATGAGTTAAATCACGAACAAAAATGCTCTAGAGAATATTTGCAAATCCATCCTTAGTGGGGTGAAAAGATTAGAAATAAACTTGCCTTTCAAAATCATCAAGAATGTGTTAGTGGCTTGCCCAATAATATGATAAAAATTATGTGCAATAAGATCGTGGCATTTTTATCAATTTAGCAATAGTATTAATACCAAAACAATATCATCATGTTTTGGCTAATCTGAGAAATCTTTGTTTTACCTTTTTTAGTCTCTTCAGATGTTGGAAATCCTTTCCAAATACAAAGGTTATTTTAACAACAATAACACTGTCTTCTTCGTGTGTCTCCATGTGACATCACAGGCTATTAGAGCTGTAGGAACCTAAGAGGTAATCTCACCTAACCCCTTCTCTCCATACAGGCCAAGGTCAGCTGCTTGCCTTAAGCCTAGGGGTGGCTCAAGGTGCCAGAGCTACCATTGGGCACAGCAGCCTGGACAGTTGGCTGGGCACCCACAGCCCTTTGGGTGACACCTGGGTCTCTCCTAGTGCTGCAGCTTCCTTAGAGAAGCAGACAGACACTTGGAAATATGCTCACGATTCCATCACAAACAGACTTTTCTTGTAATTGCCTCTTTCACCTAAAAACTGGACACAGCAAATTCCAGTCAGAAAGTGTGATAAACGAAACGTTAAGGTATGCCTAGTGTTGCTTTCAGAATCCTCTGAATGAGTTAGAAAGCTGCCCAACCTGTTGGGGGCGGGGCATCTTCAGAGGTTTTGAATGTTTCTGTCTTTTGGAAATCACTGCACAATGGCTAAATCAACCAGGTGACTCCCATACCAGAGTAGTCAGAGAACTACTAGAGTACCTTTTGTGATTTAAACAAATGAACAAAAAAAATTCAAATGTAAAATGCTCTCTTTTAATTACTAAATTAAGAAAGTTAAACAATTTAAAAATGTAAACTCACAAATAAATCATAACAAAAAAGAGTTAAGACTCCAGGGTTGCTACTTGGTATTAAAAACTCAATAGAAATCGCATTTTTGATTTGTTGTTGTTAAACATGTAATTCAAGGTTGGTACAAACAGCAACTAAAAATGTAATACTTTTTTTGTGCATCCCCATGAAATGTAAAGTAGTGCATAGTTATTCCACTGAACTCTTGAACATATAAAGTCATTCATTGGCAGTACAGGACATTTAAAACACTTATTTTACAAAGGGACATGTACAACCCCCCCCCCACCTTCCCCATAAATTTTAGTTGCATGAGAAAGTTTAGTATGTTGCCAAGACTACAATACTGTGGGTTTTAGACCATTTAAATGTGGTTACAAGATTTATTAAATAAAAAAACATTTGAAACATTTCGGCATTCGTATTCTTATACAAGAAGTTTGTGTGGTATCCATCTTCCAGTTCTCTTGGCAGGATTGGACGCTTGCTTAGATACACTCGCTTTTAAGTTTCAAGAACAAATTGAAGCAAGTTGGAGCAAACACTGGCAACAGAACCTCTGAACTCAGCTCAAGGGTTCCTGAAAAGAGTCAAAGTAATAACCACCTAGTATAGTTGTGAACGCAAGAAGTGCAATTTAAATGAACAAAAAGAAAAAGCAAAAGCAATCATGCCTTGTAAAAACAAAACAAAATCGAGGCTGCTGGATTTCCGAATAACACCAGTGCTTTGATGCAGGTAAAAATCCTCCCACTGTGTCCTGCAGCTTCAAGGCCCAGGCTGACCACGGCTCCACATAGCACCCACTTGGTTTATCTACAGGGACATATAATATATAGATTCATATTTATAAAAAAGAAAAAAAAAACACCTGTCCTGATTGGTTTTTGTTAAAACATGAAAAAAAATTTTATTGTTTTAGACAAAGAGGCCACTTTTGGAAAATAATACTTTTTTTAGTTGAATCAGGTGAAGACAGAGTTAAAATCACATAGGATTTGCATTTTAAAAAAAGGAAAGCACTAGGATCGTTGGCACTGGAGTAACTATTTACACTGAACAGAGGTTTGGCCTTTTACATAACATCGATACAATGCATTTTCCAAAGTCTGAGAAATAACAAGGTTCTGTCTCGTATGCTTCACAGAGGAGGTTTGGATTTGGGGACAAATGTCATTAATGAGGGCCATGGAAGTTCATCAGCTTCAGAGTCACATGCAATCTGATCCTGGGCGGTTCTCGCTGCTGGGCAGCTGGCTACAGAATTGAAAGCTAATGGGTAGGGGCGGGGAGCCTCTGGGACAAGGCCTCTGCAGACCGGCTCTCACAGGTTTTCCCCAGGCTGGTACTGGGGCTCCGTGGCGGTAAAGTAGTCTTCCAGAAAGCTCTGTAAGTACTCAAAAGTGGGGCGCTCTTCCAGGTCCTTTTTCCAGCAGTGGATCATGAGCTCGTGCAGAGAGATGGGGCAGTCCTGTGGACAGGGCATCCGGTAGCCGCGCTCCACCTGCTCCAGCACCTCCCGGTTGTTCATACCTGCGAAGACAAGGGCAGTGAGAGCAGGCCAGGCCTTGGCAGCCACCTCCGGAGCTCCCTTTCTTCTACTTTGTGCCTGCATGTGATGAGAACAGGGGAGGCCTTCGCCATACTCAAGGCTGCCTTTCCTGAGAAGCCACAGCCCTGCAGACCAACCCAGGAACGCACAACTCACTTGTGCAGAAACCTGACGATGAATCTCAAAAGCGTTCTGAGAGAGAGAAGCCAGACACAGATGCAACATACTACATGAGTCAGTAGTATGAAATCCTAGCAGAGGCTGAAAACCACACTGACAGAAAGCAACTGCTGGCGTGTCAGGCGGAAGTGGGGGCTGCCTGCTCTGGGTCAGGAGGAACTGTGTGGGGAGGCCAGATATCTGCAAAGGGCAGCAGCAAGCATCTCTGTGTTCTGGGCTTCGTGCAGTGTCTGCCTTCTTTTTCATAACCCTTGAGAAAAGTATAAAACAAAACGAGGCAGGGTTACAGACCTGGCCCATGGACGGTGGTCTGCCACCCTTTTTCTTTTTCCTTTTTAAAATGCATTTAGCACAGGGTTTACAGGGTCTCACTACACAGAATGGACTCATAGTGATCCTCCTGTTGTCAGCCTCCCAAGTGCTGGGATTACAGGCGTGCACTACCACACCCAGCCTCAATTGCTGTCTCAGTCAGCCCAGGGATGGGGGTAGGGGTTGGGACAGCATGCTGGGGCTCAAACCCCCATCCCTGCATATGTCTAAGCAGGTGCTTTTGTCCGCTGAGCTATCTGGCCAGCCCTGTGTCCTTTTTCTATTGAATGTGTGTGGTGATGGGTTTGCTGAAACTCACTTCCGTGTGTTTTTTTTTTTTTTTTTGGTGGAACTGGGGATTGAACTCAGGCCCTTGTGCTTGCCAGGGAAGTGCTTATTCCACTGAGCCATCTCCCCAGCCCTAGTGTGTTCTTAAACTTACAGCTGAACTTTATTGTATGTAAAATAATACTCCAGTTAAGCAGACAGAAAGGAATAAACCAGACCGAAAACAAATAAACCCCAAACAACCCATTGAATACTCCATGGAATGAGAGTGTGCTGTTTATTGTCCCTGTAAGGTCCATTTCTGAACTTCATACATCAGTTTGTCTCATGCCTAGGCAATCTCTTGCCCCACTCCCTGGGAGCGCCATCTTGCTAGCATGGCTGAGCACTGTCCAGCTGGGTGACCACCCTTCCAGCGCCATGAGGTTTAGTGACTTTAATGAGGAGGTGGTGTCTCCAGCACCAGTGATCATGAATGATGCCGGTCAGGCCATCTGTCATTGTTGTAGGCCTGACCCCTCCTCACCTCCAGGCAACTTCCTTGGGGGGAAGCATCCAGGTGCCCAGCGCAAGGGTGCCTCAGAGAGCACCAGCTCTTCTGGAACACAACTCCATACACTGGCCTTCTGGACAGTACAGGGAATGCCATGTCTTGAGCCCCTTCTTACAAAACCCAGGCACTACTCTCCATCCCCCCCCCCACATCCGATGCCTCAGTTCCTCATTGCAGCAGGAGATGCCCCTGACCCGTCTCCCGTCTCCCCCCCCCCCCATATTATATTCTGCCTTCTCCTGCCAAGATCTTATATGTTTTGGCTACTCCTCCAACTTTTGACCCAGTTAATCCACAAAACCAAGAACCCGATTTCAAGTCATAGACACTTAGATTTTCTCCTGTCTCTCAGGACTGGCACCCACAGCCTGTGTGTGTAGCTCCCTTTAAATTTTAGGGAAAGAAGGCAACCTGTTAGCCAGAGCCCTGCTGGCCTGGGCTGAGGTGCGTGGTACACAGTGGAACCTTGCCCACCCAGGCACGAGGCACGCAGACTTCTGAACTTGTAGCCAGGTCCCTTTTGTTGTGCTGCACTTTCAGCTGGGGTATCCTGGTTCCTCCTGCTGTGAACCATGGCCATATCAGTCACTTGCTATTCAAGCCTTTTTAGGATAATTCCTTACCCTGTGCCATTATAATAACTGTCTTTGCTTTTTCTTTTTCTTTTTTCTTTTTTTGAGACAGGGCCTTGCTATGCAGTTGAGGCTGGCCTTGAACTCGCTTTGCAGCCCAGGCTGGCATCAAACTCATGGCCATCATCTGACTTCAGCCTCCTAAATGCTGGGATTACAGGTGTGTATCACCAGGTTTGGCCTCCATTACAATTTCTTAAGGTGATAAAACCTACATGCTATTTCTAGTGGAATGCAGTGCCTTTCAGTACAGCTGCTGTAAAACAGCCTTTCTCACAAGCCAGGAAATCCCCTTGTTTTGGAGAGAGAGGTGTGACACAGGCAAGGAGGCTGCCTCGGGCTGTGTGCGCCTTCACAGGCCTCCTTCCATCAGGTGTGCGGGTGTGCGGGTTTAGAAAGAGACAGCATCCCCGTAGCTGCTTACACCAGTCCTGGCATCGATACAAACCACCTGCTGCAGGAAGCAAGCCATAGGCTGGACCCCTTGCCTTACACCCTCCTCCACAGCCTGAGAACTCAAGACCCAGGCAGGCCCGGGGGGAGAAAAGGCAGCCTTGTCCGGCTGAGCTCTTGGCAGCCAGGGTAAGATTGCGCCAGCATTTCCTTCTCCACCATTCTGAAGTCCAACAAGTTCCGAAAACCACCAAGTTTTTGTAAGTCACTTGGCAGCAAAGTGGATCTGCACTGGCTACAGGCTTGCCGTGATGGGAGGCAGTTGCCTGTTCTTATCCACACTCTCCCAGGGTGTCATATAACGTACGGTCTCCGCGTTCCACTGACTTTCTAAACAAAGTCTGATTCGGTAGCACATCTGCTCCTGAGGGTTTGGCAGGGAAGAAGCCCTGGCAGGAGAGATGGCAGCTTCTTCATCCCAGGCAGCCCAGAAAGGTCAGGGAAAAAAGTGTAATCACACATCAGAATTGGCATTCTCTGGAGTGTGGGCTTTGCTGCCTATTTAATAGTCTTTAGTTGCATAATATATCAGAAACTACAGAATCTGAGTGTGCAGGAAGTCCTCTGGTTCCTGCCCCTGCCAGGCAGGAGGCAAGGCAGGCGAAGGCCTGAAGCTCCTCAGAGAGGACAGGCCCTCCTAGTGGTGTCCACACCCCCCACAAGGCCTCCAGGGCTTGAATCTGGCATGGAGACTGTGTCCAAAATGGCACCACAGAGTTTAATGAACTACTCTCCTGTGACTCTGGGGAGCCAATGTCAGTAAATGCTTCATTTCACTAAAAAACAAAACTACGCAAATGAAGTATTGCCCTTAAAAGAGCCTCCTATTCAATTTCTGCCAGTGGAAACTTTAATTGGCCACTTGGGTCAAGCCTATTTTTCCAGTGCTCAGCCCAAGGCTCGGACACAGCACATGTGGCAACTCAAGCCACAATGTCACCTCTGCCGTCTTGTCGGCACCCTGTTCCTACTCTCGGCTCTTCTCCTTTCTCTTTCCATGCCTTCTTCTCCCCAGTGCAGGGAGCATATGTAAGCAATTCTGTGCACTGGGCCAACGAGAAACATACCCATGACGGCTCTGCCAGAGAAGTGGGATATTCAACACTGCACTTGGCAGACAGCGACAAGTTGACTGAGACTCGCTCTCAAGACCGGCTCTCTCCCCACCGCCTCCTCAGGGCTGACCTGAGGCCTGAGCCCAAGCAGGTTCTCCCTGTGGCAGGTAAATGCAATGTGTCTACTCAGCAAGGTTTGGGTTAGTTGCTTATAAACATTAGCTCAATTAAGTGCACTGTGTTAATATTTTAAAAAAGCCTCTGTTATAAAAACTTTGAAAATCTTACAAGAATTTCAGAAAAATGCATTTTATGCTACACACCATGCTAAGGATGGACTATTCTAAAGATAAAGCAATAAATCCTCCTCCCTGAGGTCCGTTCTGGGAGCCTTCTGTCACACTGGATTCTCCACTTTTAGAGATGGTAACACTAGCATCGTTTCTAGTGGGTCTGCCCGGGTCACTGCGGGAGAGACTGTCCACGTGGCCTGAACTCACTTCTCGGCTAGATCGGCTTTCCTGAATCCCTCTCGGGTTTCCTGCAGCAAACCTTAGGGGTAGAGTTCCCAACAGTCACTTTGAGATGCTGACTCTGCGCCTTGACTCCCCTCTCTCTACGCATCCCCAGTCCTCTCCTTCGCACTGCACATGAGGCCCATGGATCCTCTCCTCTTTTCTTTCAGATTCTTGAGCAGGGGACTCAAAATCGCTTTCAGGGGCAGAGACCTGAACTAGATGTCACTTCTTGACTTTGGGCTTCGCATCTCTCTCCAGAAGCTTCCCATGAGCCCAGTTTTTCCATTTGTCAGCACAATGCCTCAGTAGTCACTTTGCCTTCAAGTCTTCGAGAAAATGTGTTCCGTGGAGGAAGACTGTGTTTTATCACTTTCCATTTGTACAGCTTCCTTGTACAGACCTCCAAAGGGCCATACCTTCACATCAGGAGCTTTAATTGTTTTCTGTGCTTGTTTTTGTCTGGGTTTGACTATGGGCTACATAAACCTAGACTTTTGTCCATGTGAATGAATAAATTTCATTTGCAAACAGCTTTTTGGTCACAGGGAGCAACACAACATTGTGCATGAGGGTTTCCGTGTGAGGCACCTGTGGCTCTCTTACAAACCCTGCAGAAGGCCCTGGCTCCTGGGCTGTGGGTGCCACAGGAAGGAAGTGGAGCTAACAGGCAGGCCCGGTGCACTCACACGCGCTCACAGTGCAGAGTGTCCTGCACTCGCATTATCTCAGGGTGATCAGACTGTGGCATAATATCAAAGTAAAAATCAGGCACAGAGAGATACTGATCAAATAGTATAGATGAAAATAAAGGGCTGATCTTGAGAAGGTACAATAATTACTACCTTTGTTTTTTTCCCCCATCTTAACAGATAACCACCAGGTTTTTATTTATTTTTGTATTTTAGGGAAGGGTCTACAGGGTGGTGTTCAGGGTCTCACTACTAGATGGGACTCGTAGTGATCCACCTGTTTACAGCCTCCCAACCACCAGATTTTAAAAAATTAAGCTCACTGTATTAATAAACACAGAAATGAAGACTGAAGGTGCCATAATACACAAAGGTTATCGAAAATTGGTAACACAGGATCACAAAGAACTCCTTTGTCCCAAAACATAAGTGAAAAGGTGAGAGTGGCTGACAGAGGCTGGGATCTGCACAGCTAAGAAGGAAGAACAGCAATCTAGGACGTCCCTCCACGGCTGCCCTGTGCACACACATGCTGTCCTCTCTGTGGCTCACCAGCCAGCTCCACTAGTCACGAGAAACCCTGTAGGGGAGGTGACAGAATGACTGTTGTGCATTCTAGGCAGGATGTGCCATTAGAGGGAGCACTGTGGGGTGAAGGGAAATCCAGGGGCTGTGGATAGGGTAGCACGTGCAGAGGACTTTGCACCCCAAGCGGAGGTCAGAAGTTTTTGCCTACTGCTCATCCTCCTCCTGCCTAGCGTCCTAACTTCTCATAGCACGGGACATCAGTTCCATCAGCAGGTTGGATCTAAGGAATGTATGTTTGCAGTTCAGGGCTCTATGGCAAAAGGAGGACTGTGGTGGGACTTGTAATTCATTAAGCAACGTGTTCCTAGTTCACTCTTTTCCTTCATGTCTTTACGCCATTATCAAGTGATTACATGCATTCAAAAAGGTCAAGCAGCTGTCACCTCCTGAAAGATGTCAAAGAGCTTCAAATACATGAATGAATACTTGCTTCAGAGAACATTCTGGTTTCTCATGACCAGTGGGGCTGGCTGGTAGGCCGCAGAGAGGACAGCATGTGTGTGCACAGGGCAGCCTCAGAGAAATGTCCTAGATCACTGCTCTTCCTTCTTAGTTATGCAGATCCCAGCCTCTTTCTGCTTGCCTATATGCCAGACACACAGGAGCAGGTGTTCCACTAAGGGCCAGGGTGCAGCATGGCCAGGATGCTCCCTAGAAGGGCACTGGAACATGGTGTCCATTTCCCAGAAAAACTCTGAGGACAGAGGTTACCTCACAGCCAAGAAAATACAGATTTGGACTATGTGTGAAGATGATGGGCTGGAATTAAAAGGTTTTTTTTTTTTTTTTTTTTTTTGTGGAACCAGGGATTGAACTCTGATCCTTGCGTTTGCCAGTCAAGCACTTATCCTACTGAGCCAACTCCCCGGCCCCTGGAATTAAAAGGTTTTGATAGCTACGGTCTGAATTTAAAGTTCCTGTTCTAAGAGCTTCATAGATTCATTCACATCCATTCTCTTTGTCTCTCATCCGTCCATCTGTCTATCCATCTATCCACCCACCCACCCATCCATTCACTTATAGAGTCTACTATGCGGTGGACAGCATGGTGGGCATTGGGAAACATGTAACACCTTCCTTCTTTCTCATAGGTGGAAGAGCTCCTGGGAAATATGCTCACGTGTATATTTTGATAGAAATTTGCCAGATGTCACGGAAGCAAGCGCAAGGTGCCACCTACTTGGCCTGGGTATGGGGAAGTTTTCACAAGGAGATGACATTTTGGATGGGCTTTGAAAGATTCTAGGCAGAAGAGAGACTTGCATGTTCAAGACAGACATCATAAGTCTGACTATGCTAGTCTCCTGCTCAGAGTCCCTTACTTCCCATCCACAAAGAGCAATAGCAGAAGTCTTAACAATGACCAACATCCAATGTATTGTGTTTACTTATGTTTGTTTAGTGTTTGTCTCCTTCAACAATGACCAAAGGCCATATCCGGGTGCCAGGGGCCTCCTGTGCTCCAGCCATCACCCTTGCTTTCTGCCCTGGGCATATGGCCTTCCCCTTGACACCTGCCTGGTTTCCTGTGGGTCTGCAATTGGAGGGCACCTTCCCAGTGAGGTCTTTTCTCACCACGCTTCCCTGACGTCCCCCTACCCCTTCATTTCATTTTCTCCCTATCAATTCCTACCAGCCAACATCTAATATATTTTGTTTATTTATTTTTATTTATTGTCTTTCTCCTTGAAGAGGAAAGTTCACAAGGGCAGGAATTTTCATGTCAGTTTACTATTCCAGTCCTGGTGCCTAGAACGGCAGTTGGCATATGGTAGTTGTTCAATAAATATGTGCAGGCTGACTGAAGTTAAAGGCCTAGGAAAGATACATGAGAAGAAGGCTCTGGAGTCAGTATGCGAGGCAAAGAGAAGCCCTGAACATTTTAAACTAGGAGAATGAGGTAGTGAGTTTCTGTTCTCAAGCCTAACAGTTCTGCTGGTGACAACAACAGTGTCGTGGTGACAGAGGGGCGGCAGGGAGAGACTGCCAACAGGACATCCCACGAGATCACTGCCCAGGAAAGTGACAGCTTGGCAGGGGCACAGGTGGGAAGGCACACAGGGAAAGGGTTTGAGAGAGGTTTTGAAGGTGAAATGGTAGGTTAAAATATGTAACTGATTTCTGCATTAACCCCAGGAAACTGCTTTTACTTAAATGCTTTCATTTCTCATATGTGACAGCTTATCAGTATAAAATCAGACCTAATTTTCATGCAAAGAATGGCTCAGAACCCTGGTGTACAGAAGAGCAAGCCGGACTACAGTGCTGAGAAAGCGATCAGGCCAGGCTGCTGCAGCAAGGCGACCCAAGCTGTACTTTGGATCGCTGGCCGCCTCTGTTACAGAGCGTGGGAGCAGTGCCTCTCCTTGGTGAGGTGCGGCGACCCTGCTGCACGGCCTTTGGCAACTGCAGCACCACACTTCTACATTTCTTTGGTTTCAAGGCTCTAGCTCAGTTCAAGCTTATTTTCCTTTCCTTCCTTTTTAATCCATTCCTTTCACGAAATGTGCTAACTAACCAGCCAAGCCAATGTCACTCTGACCGCTAATGTGCTTGTCCTCTGCCCAGTCACACTTCTCGCTCCACCTACATTCCTACTCTGAGGCTCACTTTCAGCCTGGTATCCACGCCAGTCAGAAATGCCCAGGAAGCTTTCACAGAAGTAACTAGTAAGTTGCTCCCCTTCCCCACCTCCATCTCACCTCCCAGCCAAAGGCCTTCTCCTTGTGATGGGAGGACAGAGGGCCTGTCTCGGCTGGGGAAGAACTTAGAACACTGTACCACCACTTACGACTCTTGGAAAAAAGAATTACTTGAAAATGTAGTATAACCAGCTGAGAAATTACTGTATCAAACGTAGAACAGAGGGAAGTTCTTGGAGAGTGGGAGAGATGACCCCTTAGCACATGCTTGTTGAGCTGGTCACGCCAACCACCATTGAGAACATGCAGGAAAGTCCTTTTCCTACAAGGACATCTGGAGAAAGCTTAAGGGACCTTTTCTTTCCTCAGAATGGTGATCCTCTATGAAGGTAATAATCCTCTAACTGCAGTCACTCTGTAGAAGCATCTCTCTTACAGAGTTTTCTTTCACAGCCAGAAAGCAAATTACACACGATTACAGCTAAGTTAAAAAAAAACAAAACCAAGCAGGGTGTGGTGGTAAGCGCCTGTATTCCTAGCTATTTGGGAGACTGAGGTAGTAGGTGGCAGATTCGAGCCCAGCCTGGACAACTTAGCAAGACTCTGCTTAACAATAAAAATGAAGAGGACTGGAGCACAGCTCAGTGCAAACAACTTGTGTCCAGTCCACAATACCACAAAAGCAAAGTCACTGAGCACGCACCCAGGGTAGGGAACAAGCCTGGACACCACTCTTCTGTGGCTCTCAGTGGTGAAGAGCAGCCCATGTTACCCCTCTTCCCTGATAGGATTCCTTGGGGCCCAACGTTTCCCTGGGGCAGTGCACTGGACTCCTCAGAAACAGCTCTTGCCCCAGGTGTGGTGGCGCATGCCTGTAATCCCAGCACTGAGGAGGCTGAGGCAGGAAGATCACTGTGAGTTCAAGGTCAGCCTGGACTACACAGTAAGTGAGACCCAGCCTCAAAACAACTCAAGCAAGCAAGCAAGCAAGCAAGCAAACAAACAAACACCAAAATCTCTCAGCTCTTCCCCCCTTTCCAGAACATCTCCCAAGTGTCACCTCACTTGCTCTCTACCTCAGACTCCTTTGAGGCTCCCGGAACTGGCTCTGTCCTTCTAGAAGCTGGTGCCTTCTCAAGGACCAGGTGGACCTGGGGTTCCACGCTACTCCTTCCAGGGTCTGGTTCACTTGCCTTTTTCCACAAAGCCCTTGGTCCCGCTGTCACTCTGGACCTGGGGCAGTCATCCAAGCCCAGGGCACATCAGCAGCTGCTTACAGATTCAAATGGGTACAGTGCACCAAGCTCAGCCTCACTCACATTCCTTCACCATTCCTAGGAACCCTAGGAAGCCCTTCAAGATCCCTGTTGTCTATCGGTACCTGAAGCAGGTGCCCTAGCCCCATTAAGAGAATTAGGGTTAAACTCAAGTGATCCACCTTTAGAAAGACTTCCTCTAATAATAAAAAGTCACAAGAGGGGCTAGGGAGATAGCTCAGTGGACTAAACACCTGCCTGCCTAGCAAGTGCAAGGACCAGGGTTTGATCCCCACTACTGCATGCTGTGCCGGCCCCACACTGCACCGGCCACTGAAACTGGGCATGGTGGGGCACACTTGTAATCCCAGTGCTGGGGAGGTTGAGACAGGAGAATCACTATGAGTCTGAGTTATGTAGTGAGACCCTGTACCAAACAAACGATTTTTTATAAACGTCACAAGAAAGGTTCTTTTCTGGAGCTGACACGTGCTCTGCCTGACTGGAGCTTCATGAGTGCAGGGGCTACATTGATTATTTGCTCACTCTTTTCCCTCAGTCCCCTAGAACAGTGCCCTGCGGGACCGAGACTGCCTGAGTTGTACTATTTCCCAGGTTGAGCAAATGCTTGGCACAGTTCAGGCTGACTGAAGAGAGGCTGAATGAATCCCTGTCTAGGTTGAGAACGAGGCCATTTTCTTTACACCAAGTTCCTGCCTGAGGGGAGCCTCTCTGAAGCACACCTGCCTTCCCTCTCTGAGGCCCCCACCTCCACCCCTTTGTCTCAGCTCCTCTGTGTGACCCCAAGAAACAAAAAGCGGCTTTGTATTACTTGAAGGAAAGGTTTTACAGAAACGCAAAATAACATTAACCTTTAGCCTCTTACTTCCCCCTTGCATTTAACACACCGGGTGATTTTAAGCCTAGGGAAACCAGGAAGAAATTAGCTCAAAATGCAGACAATAAAAAGAGGTTCCTTCCCATCTTCAAAATCCTGAGACTGGCACATTCTGCCCCCCATGCTGCGCTGCAGCCCCCCAGGGCAGCCCTTTCTTCGGCTCTGGTTGGCTGTTCCTGAGTCTGCCCACTGGAGTAAGCCACAGCCACCACAGCATCAATAAGACTGACTTCTCTGCATTTGCAGATGCCTGGCGCTGGGCCTGCGGAGACGGACCGTGTCGGTTTCCTGTGGTGTCCACCTGCCCTCCTGGGAGGCTCACTCAAGGCAGTCCCAGCCCGGGAGAGGGAGGCCCTCTTGCCAGTCTCCTCCTTGTGTTCTCTGATGATGACCATAATCACACAAAATGAACAAAAGGGATTACACACTAATCGGCTCTTGCTGGCTCCTGTGACTGCAAAGATAGGATTACAGACCCAGGATTTGTGAGAGACCTACATTCCTCATTAATCTCCACTATCAGTTCTATCACTGTGTGGCTTTTCTCCCTAAAGCTCCCTTTTTAGCAGGGAATGAGGGAGAGCTGTGGTCTTTTTTCACTCTGCAGTAACTAAAAAATATGTCCTTAACATTTCAAAAAGCAGATTGTCTCCATGCTATAACCACTAAGTGTAGCGGTGAAGCGGCACACGCATCCTTTATGTCTCCGGCTGTCTAAATTAACACATTTAAACATGGATAACCTCAACTCATGGTGTCTCTGGAAAGCATGAATCTGATAATTCAGAAAAATTCCTAGGCCCAAAGACCCGGCCTCCTCGTCCTGCTCTTGCTCTCGTGTAGTCTGCTCTGACTGTCAGCAACAGGCGGCAAGTGGCCTCTGCACTGTCTCCGAGTGCTGCTGCTCTCCAGCCATCTGGAGCAGGAGCCTGCAGAGAGAACAGGTCCTGGCATCTTCCTGCCAGGTTCACTCCTCGGGTCGGTGCTGCAGTGTGATCAGAAAGCAGCAGGCGCTTTGCTCCTTTCCAGACACGCCTGCCAATGCCACGCGGGCAGCGGCTCTGCCAGGGCCATTTCTGCTCTGGGGGCCACAGTGAGCGCTCTGACTGAGACAGAAGCGATCCCATAAACTGTGGTGGCCTGAAGCTCTCCTCCTGGCCACTAACCACACTCCTCCCGGCAGGTGGGTCACAGTGGCTGCCTGTTGGCATGCCATGGCAGCCCCCAGCTCTGCCTCTCTCTGGCTAAATACCTGTTCGTATTCTTCAAACTCCTGCTTGGCAGAAAGCTGGGCTTGGGGCTTAGAAAGGCAAGCTATCAGAGTCAGATGCTTGAGAGACCACCGCAGGCCCCCTTCAAGCGCCCTGCTCTTACCTGGGTATGGCACTCTTCCTTTGGTGACCAGCTCTGTGAGTAAGATTCCAAAAGACCACACGTCAGACTTGATTGTGAACCTCCCATACAGCGCCGCTTCGGGGGCCGTCCACTTAATGGGGAACTTCGCACCTGCAGAGAGAAGAGCTGGTTATGCCAGGCCGCCATCCTGCGCCGGGCGTGGGGAAGGGAGGAAAAGCACGTGGGAGCCTCTTTCCGGGAGCAGGCTGAGAGAGCAGGTCATGAAAGAAACGAAAGGTGAGTAGTAGTTTGGGATTGAGAAGATGTGTGGGGTGAGCCTGGCTCTGTGACCTTAAGCAAACTAGTTTAATTTTTCATTCAAAGAACTGGACTTCCAAGTCCCTTAATACCTCACTGCACGGCAGGCGCACAGGCTTCTTCAACTTGAATCTATGTGTCCAGTGCTATAGTTTGGTCTGGAGGAGATTTCCTGACTTGTGATCTAGGAAACTGATTTCTCTTGTTTTGAAATAATGCCATACTTTAACAAACACACAGGGGATTAGACCATCCTGTTACTGTCATGGATCCTGTTATATCATAGCATAGTTTGGTCTTAGGAGTTGCACAAAACCCATCACCCCAGGGTGGAGACAGCTGATGCAGCCGTGAGTTAGGCGAACGGGCTCTACTTCCCCAAGGCCTCCCACACAGAAACGGTAGCAGCTCCCCTCCGTTCTCTCTTCCCCTCACCTTTCCTCCCTGGAGTGGCCACCATCGCTCCTGGGAGCCTTTTCTTCTGCAGTGATGATCCCTTCTACCTCCGTACCTTTTTTCTACCCAGCCAGAGAGGAAGCCACTAAAGTTTGTTCTTTAAACAAACAAGTCTTCCCTTGGGGACTATGGGATGCATCTCTGGCTTCTCGACACCAAGGAACAACATTCATGCTGAAGTCACTAAGATCACATCTTTAGAATTTCTCTGATCATTAAAGGAATCCTGTTTCTAGACCAACCAGAAGGGCGGGCCCAGCTCTCTGTGGCGCTAAATGAGCAGAGGGAACGAAAACGAACTCAGTGGCTGTATGCACATATTAGGCTCAGCAATTATAGACCAGTTCCATACATTTCACTGAACAGCCTGAAAGAAAAACAAGGAATTTTTATTGTCTACATAAATATAATTATATCTTTAACACACATTAATTAATTATGGTTGGGGGTCATAAAAATCATACAAAGGCTGACAAAACAGAAATTTTCAGGGTATTTTCTATGAAAAGTCACTATGCACAAAAGCATCAAATGATTAAAACCTTTAAATTAGCAAGGTTTTAATAACCAGTCATATGATAAATTTCAGCAATTAGATCTTTGTTTTAAATACAGTACACGATAACAACCTTAGCACATTTACCCTGGCATTTTTCTGGGAATATAATCTTCTTCTCCGTCTCTTCCTTGCCAGTGTGAAATGAAATTTTTAAAAAATCCTCTTTCATTATGTAGACTCTTACACTAACATCAGAGTAGGAAAGTTATTCCACAGTTTTGTTCTCTTTTTATGTACTCACGTACTTTTATTTAGCTATGTTTCTTCAAGCATAATTATTTACGTCAGATGACTGCACACAAGCCCTGGCATCTTCTGAATGTTCATTTACTGTACTGCTTCTCTCCAAAGATCCCACTTACAATTCCTGTCCTGGCCATCATGTACAGATGCTGGGCCATGGGGATTAACGTGCTAGATTTTCTTCAGTATCCACAGCAGACTTGGCCCTGGACCAGGCCTTAGTGGGAGTTCTTTTACCTCAGAGAGTAAAAGGTATATTAAATCAGTTCCTTTTAAATCTTCTCTCAAGCCAAATGGGTTGGAAATCTCTGACCCTTCTCTGAGAAACATGGGACACTTTTCTCTGTTGGGCATTTTTTTTTTTTTATATCAGGAATCAAACTCAGGACCTTGTGCTTGTCAGGCAGGTGCTTGTGCTGCTGAGCTACATCCCTGGCCCTGGGCAGACAAATCCAGTAAACAAATGGGAGCCTTTTCTTCCTTCTCTGACTCAGGCAACATTGATGAAGGGATATGAGTTGCTTTGAGCAAATTTAAAATTTGGGTAAAATATTTTCAATTTTGTGAGAGAAGAGCTCCTAATTTCAAGCTAAAGAAAAAAAATCTTAAATAGATTAGCCAGTTGCACTCAGCTGCTTTATTTTCATTTTGTAATCCACAATAACAACAATATGTAAATTTTCAAAAAAGGTTAAAATAAAGATTGTATAATGTAACGAATATCTGGTAATTTCCTTTGTTAGGCAACTACTTGTAGATAGGTACTTTGCTATATTAGTAAGAGCTTATTTAAATAAATTTATTTTCCACTAACCTTTTATGTGAAAGTAAAAATTTTTATTCTGATCTGTTTCTAAGTGTACATAGCTAATATAATACCAGTTTTAGTGGCAAAAACTTGATTCCTCTGAAACTTCACAATGCTACATCACTATTACTTTTCCAATAAGTAGAGACACAACTGTAAGCAGGAAGCACACTTTCGGGCTTACTTTTAAGAAAAGCAACACTTTTATACCACATGTAATGAGATACCCCTAAAGCCTTTGTCCAACTTTTTACTTATTTCCTTGCTCTTAAAATAGCAGGCACTTCGGATAAAAATAAAGTTTTCTAATAACTCATCTTTTCTTTTTCAAGGAAGACAAAAAGTTAAATTCAAGTAATTATCCAAAGTTCTGACTGAGAAGAACGACTGGCGTCCACTCTTCTCCTCCTCAGAGAAGACCAGTCCATTTCCTGGTCTCGGGTTCCCGCCTCCTGGGGCCACACAGGCTGTGTAACGGTGGCCACTCCTTCGCAAGCTGTTTTTTTGCAGTCTTATCTCCTCTCCCTTTGAATGACAGTCTAAATTCCAAAGAGAAGCCATGCCTAAATGATTAAGAAATTATCAGATAATCTTTCTTTAGCTTTATGGAAGCCAGAACATCTGGTGACCTTCAAGTTACACCAGAACGTGTCATGGCTCTCCTTTCACGCTTTAGGTTTCTGCATCTACCACCACGAAGCATGTAAGCCACTGGGAGGTTTAACTTACACAACAGTCATGTCTGTCTCTAAAGAACTGTAGGAGCTAGCTCAGGAGGCTGTGGTGCACTGTGACATGCTGGCCAGAACAAATGGAGAAACACACCCTGGATGCCTGGAGCCCACTCATCACAGGCCTTCCTGCCTGCTGTCGGCTGCTCCTTCTTTGCTATCCTATAAAAATCCTTGTGCTCCTCAATTTCCTAAAACAAGGCCCTGAGACAACAGCTTCTCTTCATCCTCTCAGAATGCCAGCCCTTAAACAAAATGGATTTCTTTCCTACCAACTCTTTTCTCCTGAGTAGAGGCTTCCAAACAGTGAGCAGCTAGACAAGGCTCCAGTAACTGGAGCACAGTGTAACACCCTTGCCTGTGAGAACCGTGCCAGTGAAGCTGTACAGCACATGACCAGCACAGGCCCAGAGGTGGCTCCGTGGCGGGGGCAGGGGCTCAGGTCCAGTTCCTGGAAGGAAGGAAGTCCTAGGCATAAAGATTGCCTTTTGCTTGAAAGTAAAGCTCTTCCCCTGATAGTTTTTCCACAGACACAACAGCAGGCACAAAGTTAGGATCAAAGTTTCTTTTTTAAGGGGAGAAAATGTCAGAAAAACTACAGTATAATTAACTAGGTATTATCACCTAACTAGCTGATCCACTCTTTGAAATTCTTCTTTTGGGAGCGGTATTCAGAGGTCAACACATATCTCTCTGCTTTGCACTGCACTGGAGGAAAAGCAGCAAAGTCAGAGGTAGTGGTAACTGATGTCGCTGGTACTGGAGGCTGGAGGACTCTCACGCCAGTGTGCTGCGGTATTTATAGGCATTATTTGAAAAGGAGTTATTATCATACTTTTCATTTTCTACTAAACTGAACAGTCTGAGATTCTCTTAAGTCAGTCATGTACACATGGACTTACAAGTATCCTTTCCACCAAACTGTTTTTTAGGTAGCAAGTGCAAATTCTACCAATCTCTCAAGGTTTGGGCACTGCCAAAACCTTGCTGTGGGACTATCATTGGGACCTACATGCCAGAACTGCCAGGCAAGAGTGTCTTGGTATTTTTAGTTATTTACTTCTTGGAATGGCAGTTCACCTTTAGCTCAATCAGCTCATGTGGTAAGGAAATACATCAGCATATAATTTCCTAGGTACATGTCAACTCCATTTCTCTAAATTCTGTTGAAATGTGAAACACATGACAATAAATCCTGTGGCTTAAATGACTCGGGGTTATTATGAATCTCCTATTCTCTGGTGAGTCCCTTCCTTGTCCTTGGTGTCAGTCCCAGTGTCACTGTCTGTCACGACCTGGATGCCCTTTTAAGGGGCTAACAACTGCCAACTATAATGAAAAAGCATATGCTACACACTAGTGAAGCTTAAAAATACCTGGGAACCCCTGGCTGTTTACTGTCAAATGCAGAGTGCTCAGATACCATCCGGGTCTTAGGGAGTCTGTCTGGGTGATCTGGAGGGAGGCTTGGACTTTGCTTTGAGAGTAGCTTGTGGTGCAGCTCATGGGGCTGCAGCAGAGGGTGTGGTGGGGGGGTGTTTTTAATCAGCAGAAAGAAAGTGGGCAAGAAACCTCTTAGTAGAATGGAGTGGAAGGTGGTGTCTGGACACCCACATTTTAATCTCCTGAGGCCCTGGTCTTTCTGATTTGACACACAAGGTTACTGATCTTCCATTCTTCAAGTGAGAGAAGGGAGAAGGTTGTGGGTTCAGTTATCAAAATTTGTCTCAAAAAAAGAAAAAAAAAAGTTTGTCTTAAAAAAAAAGAAAGAGGGCTGGGGAAATAGCTCAGTGGTATAAGTAAGTGGCTGCCTGGCAAGCACAAGGTCCTGAGTTTGATCCCCAGTACAAATAAATAAATAAATAAATAGCTCACTATTACCATGATTACTTCTAGAGTTTTCCCCATGTGCTTGATATTGTGCTCAGCCCTGCACTTGGTTCACAATGACAAGTTTTCACAGAGCTAGCAGCTTAGTTTGCTAAGGTGCTAAAAAGGACAATAAAATGGGGCACAAGACTAGATTTGGCGGGACTCTACAACCTCCTGAAAGAGC